GAGTGGGGGGTCCCTGGACATGGACACATATGAGGTGCGTTGGTAATCGATTACGTACTCTTGGTAATCGATTACTAGAGGAAATATGCATATTTGTACTGAAAGTGAATCCCTGCTCCCTAGTTGTGGTCACTGTGCTCCCCAGCTGTGGTCACTGTGCTCCCCAGCTGTGGTCACTGTGCTCCCCATCCATGTTTGGGGGTCCTCCGTGCACTATTGTGGACTTGTGGTCAGTGGATGCAAGATGTGTGCCATGGTTGACTATGTCCGCAAGGAGATCTCCCAAGTTTGGACATCCCTTTATGTGGGTAAGACCCCCTTTGGGTGCCTTTTTTCTTGAATGGGGGGGTCCCTGGGCATGGACACATATGAGGTGCGTTGGTAATCGATTACGTACTCTTGGTAATCGATTACCAAGGGAAATATGCATATTTGTACTGAAAGTGAATCCCTGCTCCCCAACTGTGTTTACTGTGCTCCCCATGCATGTTTGGGGGTCCTCCGTGCACTGTTGTGGACTTGTGGTCAATGGATGCAGGGTGTGTGACATGGTTGACTGTGTTCGCATGGAGATCTTTCAAGTTTGGACATCCCTTTGTGTGGGGAAGACCCCTTTTGGGTGCCTTTTTTCTTGAGTGGGGGGGTCCCTAGGCATGGACACATATGAGGAGCGTTGGTAATTAATTATGTACTCTTGGTAATCGATTACTAGAGGAAATATGCATATTTATACTGAAAGTGAATCCCTGCTCCCCAGTTGTGGTCACTATGCTCCTCATCCATGTTTGGCGGTCCTCCGTGCACTGTTCTATACTTGTGGTCAATGGATGCAGGGTGTGTGCCATGGTTGACTGTGTCCGCATGGAGAACTCCCAAGTTTGGACATCCCTTTGTGTGGGGAAGACCCCCTTTGGGTGCCTTTTTTTCTTGAGTGGGGGGTCCCTGGGCATGGACAGATATGAGGTGCGTTGGTAATCGATTATGTACTCTTGGTAATCGATTACTAAAGGAAATATGCATATTTGTATTGAAAGTGAATCCCTACTCCCCAGCTGTGGTCACTGTGCTCCCCATCCATGTTTGGGGGTCCTCCGTGCACTATTGTGGACTTATGGTCAGTGGATGCAGGGTTTGTGCCATGGTTGACTGTGTCCGCATGGAGATCTCCGAAGTTTGGACATCCCTTTGTGCGGGGAAGACCCTCTTTGGGTGCCTTTTTTCTTGAGTGGGGGGGTTCGTGGGCATGGACACATGTGAGGTGTGTTGGTAATCGATTACGTACTCTTGGTAATCGATTACCAGAGGAAATATGCATATTTGTACTGAAAGTGAATCCCTGCTCCCCAACTTTGGTCATTGTGCTCCCCATTGTTATTTTAGGTAAGTCGTCATTGATTATTTTTGGAGTAATAAAATATGTAGTTCAACAGGTATTTAGTACTGAAAATATCATTGATTAATTAAAACACTATTCATTTAGTTACCAACGTTAGAATACAAATAAGTTTAACGACAAAATGACAAGTTCTTGAGAATGAAAAATTACATCAATTTGTAGAAATATATCCTGTGTACAAAGTTGGATGTCAATGAAAGCGATTGTTGATGTTGTTGAGGTTTTGTTCCACGTTTCGAACACGATTTTCAATTGTGTCAAATCTATCGGCCACGAACATGCGGAGGTCTTTGATTTCGTTCATAACTTCAGTCAATGTTATAGAAGATGTGTCTTCTGGATTTTGAGAATGATGTCCTACTTTGTGTTCTTTAGTACCAACTTCTACTTCATCATTGCCTACTTCTTCTTGGTGATTTCCAACGTCGTCTTTGTGAACCCATATTCCTTCATCATTTTTATGATAACCAAACGACGATATAACTTCTAAACCAATCCTTTGTTTAAGCTTAACTTGGGTAAAAGGATCAGTGTCTGTAGGCACACCAAAGTGTTCCATGAATATCGTAATTAAATGCGGATATGGAAGTTGGGAGTTGTCCCTTAAAGCCCTTTTCATCCTCTGTCGAATGACATGGCCCCAGTTAATCTGAATAGAATTGAAAAGTGCCCAGAGCAACAAAATGTCCTCTTCGGTTGCTTGTGCAACATTGGTTGAACGAGGAACTAAGATACGACAAATAACGTAATGAAGAATCCTACTCTGCACCTTCATATTCCCGGCAAATATTCTATTGTGTATGTTTGCATTAGGTTTACAAATCAATTCCCTAGCACTAATTGAACTATATTGGTCCTTCTACTCATCACCAATATTTCCTTCATAGAGAACCCCAATAGAAGGGATCGTTGTCAGTTCATGAAAAAGACAAGGGGTGATTGTCATTTTTACCTTTTTGACTTCGCTTCGAATAACTCCTGAATATGAGATTCACATATTATAGTAGAAAACTCTCACTAATTCCGGATGGAAATGGCGTTTATAGGACACGAAATCCTTCAGACCAGCAGTTGTCAAGATGTCGTAGAATTCGAAATTCCCGTCTTGAAAGAGTTCGTCAGCAAGATACTTCCCTTCAAGAATTGGACCCTCAAAGAAATGGGAAGCGAACCTTTCAAATTGCTCGTCAGTGGAGAAGAGATTATTACTGGTTGGTGGTGTTGACGGTGGAGGGGATGGCTGTGGGCTGCGTCGACGGTGACGGTCCCCCTTTGTTGACGAAGCCCTATGCTTCTTCAATGGACGATCTGCCATTGGAGGTATAGTTGCGTATATGAAAGGACAAGGGAGGTTAGATGGGTTATACGGGAATAGGGTTTTGAAAGCGGAGAATATTTAAACTTTTATTTTGGAAGGGTTAGAGGGACGACACTGTTACGGGGGTTTGGGGGTGGGGGTGCGGGGCGGGGACGAAGTGGGTTATACCCCCCATCAAATTACGGTTTGAATATTTGGGAACCAAAATTAAAACTATTCCTGATTGATAAAACGCCACGTTATCTGAAATAACGTAACAATAATCGATTACAATATGTCTGTAATTGATTACAAGATAGAAATAATAAAAGCCTAGATTTAGTGGATGTCGTTGTCTCTGTTTTACACAACTGCACTGTGTACATTGTGTACATCACTCGTGTAACATCAAGTAAAATCAAAAGCCATTTTTGGCAGAGGATATCAATTTATGGAATAAGTTAAAAGTAATATTTTGATGACCAAAACAATGACAAATTAAAGATTTGAACATTTAATAATCATAAACATCAACACTAGGGATGATCTATATTGTTATGAACAACAGATAACAATGACATAAACCCATTAGGAGTCCCTTCAGGTAGTAGAGGTAGGTGATGCGTATGTTGCGTTAGGCTTCCACGTTGGTCAACCTCTTGGGATTGTGTTACATTACATGTTGTTGTTTCTTGATTACACAAATGAACTAATAAGATAAAATTTAATACAAATAATTCTGATATATGAATAATATATTAATTGAAATTACTCACATTTTGATCTAATGATATTGTTGAAGTATTTTTTCTTGAACCCCTATTCCTTTTCTTAGTAACTGTTTCAATGGTCGACTGCAATTTGTTAGTTCTCAGTCGGCCTTTTCGCTTCACCACTACAGGACTACGGACAAGTACATCACTACTACCACAAGTATTGTACGATGGTGTATCGGTCATGGGATTCTCATACCTTAGTTCTCCAATGTAACTTATGATGTTATTTTTCAAACATCCTGTCAATCCAAACTTTTTAGCCAGGCAATTCAATTCATTCTCCAACTGAACAGATGCAGATTCAGATTCAGATTCACACACAACCTCAGTTATGTCATAGAATCGCTTACACAATGACTGGTATCTTTGCATTTTTGGTTCTTGATGCAAACAACTATACGCTGCTCTAATCAGTGTGTGTCTTCTACGAATATTTTTGCTCCAACGGCGGATAACATATTTTGACAACACATTGTCTACATCCTCCTGACCGAGGACCAACAACGAATGCCGGAAAATTATACCTTTAAAGTCAAACAACAGGCAAGAGCAGTTTGTATCCTTAGTAAGTGGATGAAATTCCACATAGTAGTATTTGTCTACACATTTTCCCTCCCACACGCACTCCTCTTTAATTGTGTACTTGTTGACAACACCTTCAGTGACTTTGTGCTTGATGAAACAATTCATCCTTGAGCGGAACTCAGTTTGGACTTCCTTAAATTTAGCATGTGTGTATTATTTTGGAATTGTCTCTCAATTGGTGATTAAGACCCACATGTGACCGTTGTATTCAGGGAGGAGAAGTTAGCTTCTATTTCTTTTTGTGCCTTTACTTTAAGAGCATTGTCGTATTGAACCATAAATTGTTGTAGTGTGGTACTAGAATGGTTAAATCCATCAAAAAAAGCATTCATTCCCTCACTTCTTTGAGTAGTGGACATACTAGCCCAAAAATTATTCTTCAAGTAACACGGTACCCATTTTTGTCTCTCGTCATACAAAGTAGATATCCAATCATTGTTTTCTAAGTCATGTGTGGATAATAGTTGTTCCCACCCACGATCAAAGGCCGTTGCACTAGCACACTCATAAACAAGCTCTTTAAGATCACTTTTGATACCCACATAATTTTTATAATCTTGTAATTTTTCCATTATCTTTTTCATTATGTGCCATAAACATCACCTGTGCCTTGTTTTGGGGAACACTTCTTCAATTGCATTTTCCATAGCCCTACATTGGTCGGTTACTATACCGAGGGGGGCCTTGTTACACATGCATCTAAGCCAACAATTGAATATCCATATACATGAAGCAGTGTCCTGTGAAGAAAGCAATCCACATCCAAGTAAAATGGATTGTCCATGATGGTTTACTCCTACAAAAGGTGCAAAAGGCATGTCATACTTGTTTGTTAAGTATGTGGTGTCGAAGGACACGACATCACCAAATTCATCACACGCAGCTCGACTTCTAGCATCAGCCCAAAATACACTACAAATTCTATTGTCTTCATCCATTTCGATGTCATAAAAGAACTCATTATTAAGGTCTCTCATTTTAGAAAAGTCATGTAGAAGCACTTGACCATCACCTTCCTTACAGAACGACCTTCTATGGTGACAAATGAAGTTCCTAGCATCTCGCTCCACAAATTGCATATTTTCAAATCCACCTGCTTCGCCAACGATGCTAAGGAAACTCTTATTAATCCATACACCGGCATCGTCATTGACCTCCAACGTGTGCTTCACATGCATGTTCAATTTTCTATTTGCACGGATTAGATTGGACCTTTTTGGACAAAGCTCATGACTGTGTTGTAGAACAACAGTCCTAATAATCTATTTATCATTGTTTCTTGCAATGATTATTCCAGCTGGACATTGATTAGTCTGACTGGAAAGAGTTTTCACTTCGGGTCGAATGGAAGAAACATATTTACCTTCCCTTGAACAAACCAACCTCAAGTAGTACACTTCATTTTTATCATTCTTTTTTTAAGTTCTTGTACGTACACCAAAACCACTTGTCATCGCGTAGTCTTCATAAAATTTCTTGGCTTCTTGCATTGTGTCAAAACACATGTGCAAACTTGGAACCAAGTTCAAACAACTGTCATCAACGATATTTAATTCCTGAACACTTTCATCCTCCACCCTGTCCAAGTCTAAACAATTGGCCATAACAATGTTGTATTCCCCTGTTCGTAGTTTACAATAACTACATCAACATAGTAATTTTTTTACTAAATAACGAAGCACACATTTTATTATATGTAAAATAATCAAGACATTTATCCATCTATAGAAGACACTCCCAATATTATTGAATGTAAAATATATTGATGAACAAGTTCATTATTTACATATTACATACTAAAGAAATCGTTAATCAGGACACACATCATATGTATATTATTTAGGAAAAAATAAAAACTTCACAATAAATGTTAAATATGTATACATACGAGTGAACAACTTGAACGTATTAACTCCGTACTTCAATGAAGTTGTTGTGCTTCCCACCAACCTTGAAACAGTGCCTTTATTTTGGTCTTTAAAGCAGAGCAAAGAATTACAAAGTTGAGACCAGGTCCAACCGTGGAAGATGAAGCTAATGGAAGTCAGAAGAAAACAATTCATTTGGTTATTAAGGTTGCAACATTTAATGCAATGACAAAAAGTACGTTACATTTACTTAAAGGAAGAGTGTAGAAATCAGTTTCCAATCCCCACATTAAATGTAACTTACGTGGATGAAGGAAAAAGTTTTCGAAATGCACGGAGAAGTGTGACAAAGCTTTTGGCAGAGTCATCATTTAAGCTACATTCATTAATTGTTTGGAAAACTTTTGCAGTAAATTAATATTACTTTAATTAACAACACATTAATACCTTGCCTTACGTGTTGCCCTATGTAGTGAATTGAATTTAATATGTAAAAAAATTCATTACGCCATATGGTAATCAAAAAAGGTTTTAAATTTTTCCTCCTTATATATGGGCAAAGTTAGTAGTTCAGAAAGTCACTCTGACTCTCACTTTGGTTGCACACAAATTGTTTATTTCATTCTTCTTTGACATACACATAATATGGATGCATGGGAAGGACTAATAGTGGATGAAGACGTCCTTGAATCATTTCTCAAGAAATGTGATGCCACAACATCCTTGATTCTTGGTCCTGCTGGGAATGTTCAAGCAGCATTCATGAATAGGATAAGTGATGATCAACGTACCACCCAACAATTTGCTGAAGAAGTTGCTCAAGCAACGTATGACAGAGATTTCAACTCCAATGCCTGGAAGTGGGTAGAGATGTTCGTCCAACACCATGGTGTGTAATTCAATAAACTTTTAAAATTTCTTTCACACATTCAATTTTTGTACTCATCAAATCTCAAATGCAGTGCTCGTGCCGGATGGAGATATGAAAAACCTGAATCAGCTAGATTCAGCAAAATCAGTGGCAAGACTGCCACTTGTTGCTTGTCTGGTCAAAGAGTGTAAGCCCAATGGTCTAGGAGATATGCAACTCACTATTAAGGTAATCATTTGTTAGGTTAAGGGTTTGAAAAACAAAAAACTTCAGTTGTTTAAGTTAAGTAATGTGTCATATATTTTTAGCAGGATCCTAGTGCTACCATGAAGGCCTCATTACTTAGGAAAGTTCTTCAAGATCCACAATTTGGGCCACATATCGGAGTTGGCTGTGTTTTATTACTTAACCTTGTAACTCATCTTACTAAAAGTTTGATTTTGTAAGGAGATTTTATTTTTATTTTGCTAATTTTTTCCTTTCATATTCAAGTTGCTATATTCGGTGCATTTGGTAGAACACATTACCTAAACATTGTCCTTTGCAATGTAGTTAAGGTCTTTGCCTCTGACGTATGCCCCCCTACAAAGCAACTGTTGGAGGAAACATCCAAACCTGTCATTCGTCAACCTATGACGGAAGAAGAGACGATGTCTGAAATCATGTGAAAATTGGTTGCTCATAAACCATCAACTTCCAAAAAACCAGAAAACAATACGGAACAAAACTCTACGCCAATGAATTAATAATTCAATCATATTGTAGGATGAGTATTTTGTCATGCAGGTCGATTTGACCGCTTATGTATTACTTAAGTAATTTCAATTATCAGTTGAACTTATTGTATGGATGAATGTAATATGTATTGGGATGACTTTATAGTCAAATATGGAGAGTTACATTATATGACAAATATTGGAATGTTTGTGTTACTATCATTGTAAACGAAGTACAACTTTTAACAGTTAAACACATTTTGTAATATGAAACCAATATAAACAACTAAGGATGAATGTGGAGCACTTAAGCCATAGCAGGGGAGTTCAGACTAGCTTTCTGTACAAAAATATGATTTTCCCCTGGTAATCGATTACCTATTACATGTAATCGATTACAAAGTCCAATGTTGGCTCCCAGTATCATTCACCAACCCACCTGACCTTGTCCCAGGCAACACCTTATACCTCATCACACCTTCAACTTCATTTGAAGTGCCCCTAACAAGGACAGACCTTAACGTCACCAGTTCCAACCACGGTTCATCCAAAAAGGGCCCAAGTCACCCACTCAGGATGAATGGCGAGCACTTTAGCCACAGTAGGGGAGTTCAGAACAACTTTCTGTACAAAATGATGATTTTCCCCAAGTAATCGATTACCTATTACATGTAATCGATTACAAAATCCAATTTTGGCACCCAGTATCATTCACCTACCCACCTGACCTTGTCCTAGGCAACACCTTATACCTAATCACACCTTCAACTTCATTTGAAGTGCCACTACCAAGGACAGACCTTAATGTCACCAGTTCCAACCACAGTTTATCCAAAAAGTTCGCAAGTCACCCACTCAGGATGAATGGGGAGCGCTTTAGCCACAGCAGGGGAGTTCAGACCAGCTTTTTGTACAAAATGATAATTTTCTCCTGGTAATCGATTACCTATTACATGTAATCGATTACAAAGTCCAATGTTGGCACCCAATATCATTCACCAACCCACCTATCCTTGTCCTAGGCAACACCTTATACCTCATCACACCTTCAACTTCATTTGAAGTGCCCCTAACAAGGACAGACCTTAACATCACCAGTTCCAACCACGATTCATCCAAAAAGTGCCCAAGTCACCCACTCAGCATGAATGGGGAGCGCTTTAGCCACAACAGGGGAGTTCAAACCAACGTTCTGTACAAAATGATGATTTTCCCCTGGTAATCGATTACCTATTACATGTAATCGATTACAAAGTCCAATGTTGGCACCCAGTATCATTCACTTACCCACCTAACCTTGTCCCAGGCAACACCTTATACCTCATCACACCTTCAACTTCATTTGAAGTGCCCCTAACAAGGACAGACCTTAACATCTCCAGTTCCAACCACGTATCATCCAAAAAGGGCCCAAGTCACCCACTCAGGATGAATGGGGAGCGCTTTAGCCACAACAGGGGAGTTCAAACTAGCTTTTTGTACAAAATGATGATTTTCCCTTGGTAATCGATTACCTATTACATGTAATATATTACAAAGTCCAATGTTGGCACCCAGCATCATTGTTCAACCTGGTCGTTCAATCAAACTAAAAGATGTGTACAGGAAAACATCATTTTCAATGATCTAAACCAACTGTTATAAGAATTATAATAACAATCACCAATCAAATTAATGAGACATTTAAATTAGGAAATGTAATATTAATATTTAATCAACAAAACAACACTTCAATTCAAATTAAAAACAATACACTTAACATAATATACATCTGTACAATGTCTTCACGAAGGACTACAGAAATCAAAATTTTGTCCGTCTTTGTTTTCCTATTAAAATCCAATATTAATCCAAATCGTTTTAGGGTGTTGAATCTTCGGACGTTGTCGTTGTCAAGGATCCAGTCACAAACATATTTTTTCCTGAAGCCAAGCAACTCCTCCTAAAATTAACATATTGGAATTTAGAAAAAAACACACCCCAATATTCATGATATATTTTTGCACACAGATTTAAACTTACATTTGTATAATCTAGCAAGCTTTTACCATTATATTTCTCATCTCCATCCCACAATTCAATTGCTTTCAACATGATAACACCACAATCATATCTATATCAGAGAAAAAAACAAAAATCATTCATAACTTTTGCTTGGGCTATCAAAATTTAACAACTATTCCATGGCCAATCAACTTACAAGTTAGGTTGGACAGGGATATTGGCTTGTTTAACTATCAAAGGACACTTAGAATCTTCTAGTTTATTGGTCAACAAACCAAAAAACGTGGCATATTTTGAGCCTGTGATGTAAAATCAAATCATTATACATTCCAAAATAAGTATGTTTCAACCAATGATGGAAGCAACTAAAATCAATTTTCAAAATAAGTTATAAAATCAATATTCAAAATACATTATAAAAATTACCATGCTTTTGTCAATCCGAGCACGCCCTTTAATACCACTACCAAGTGAGTCAATCACAAAAAACTCAAAGGTGCAAACTTTAAAGGCATAGCACCACCAATGATTATCACTTAGAAATGGGATGAAAACCTAGAAGTGGCCACATAAATGAAAATTGTAAACAATTCATAAACCAAATAACAAAGCAAGATGGTACGTACAAATCACAACTTACTCACCAAATCGGCAGACAAGATGTCAGGCAGTTCAATTAGATCAGTAGGAAAATACGTTTCATAATCATTAAGTTGCCACACATGTTGATTGGCTGGACGTCTCCTATACTCGTGCCGCATATGGTTCTGCAATGAATAAACAATAACAAACTAAAAAACCATAATATAATAAAAATTTACACAACAAAACAATTGAAGTAACACAAATATTTTACCCCAAACACAGGACTAAATACAATCCTCTTTACTACTCCAAATACATGAAAATTGATGATGCAAAAAATACCACCTACAAAAAAAACAACCAAATTTAGCACTAACAAATACAAGCTTCTATGTTCAACAACATCATTACTGATTCATATCATGAAGTGCATAATTACCAAGTTGTCAACATATTGCCTCGGCCCTAAAGACTCACATTCATGTGTGCTCAATGGTTGACCAAATATTTCAGCAACAAAGCTGTAAACACAACAATAACAAGTCGCGTACCAACATAACTATTCATTAAAAATAAAGCATTATTCTATTACCTTCGTTCAATCCCTTTTGCAGATACTGAGTTGTACAATTTGTCCAAATCAACCTGTGTTCTAGGGTCACCAACATAAGTACGCAAAGGCCGTACGGACATCGGTTCAACAATAACATTTCCTTCATCTTCAACAATGTCAATGACAGCTGGTGGATGCTCATGGTGTACACATAATGGTTCTTCAGCCGCTTCACTTCCAAGTTCATAATCCCCTTCACCTACATCGACTTCACCTACACGTCCTTCATCCACTTCAGCGACAGGTTGTTCATGTACTTTACCTACACGTCCTTCATCCACTTCAGCGGTAGGTTGTTCATGTACTTCACCTACACGTCCTTCATCCACTTGAGCGGCAGGTTGTTCATGTACTTCACCTACACCTCCTTCATCCACTTCAGCGGCAGGTTCTTCAAGTACTTCACCTACACCTCCTTCATCCGCTTCACCTACAACTTCTTCATACCCTGTAGGTTCCTCATCTACTTCACCTAAAGGTTTTTCATACACTGGATTATCTGCATAGTCATCATTCCCCTGAACATCACCCGAACGATCTTCTTGAACCTTTTTACACTTTCGAAGACGACGAAGTTCGTTCCGAACACCCTTCCTTTTTTCTCTGAGCCTTTTTATCTTGAGGTTGTTTCTTCTTATTTTTTCCTCAGCTTCTGATTCCCAACTTTGTTCACCTTCGTTCTCATGTCGGTCTGCTGCAGGCCTGCAACATTCAGGCCTTACTCCATCATCCATATGGAAAGCAACACGTATGAGCGGCTGCCGACGATCATGGTCACTAAGGTACCAATCAAATTCTACTTATATCATTGAAAAACAATAACCTTACTCAAATAACAACAACAATAACACAACAATAAACACTCAAACAATTTAATAAACTAACATCGCTTGTCTTAAACAAAACATCTATTCTTTTCGTCCTTGAATGAAACGAACGAAATTGAGTCACACGCGGGAATATCTTATGAGAACTATGACGATGCAAACAAAGGCGTTCAAAAGCCCAAAGCTACAATGTCACAAGTAGAACTTTTCAATTTAATTAGGACAATCACTTAAATTAATACAACAAAAATAAACAATACATCATCATAATAACTGTAACACATCAACATTGCCACTAATACTCAAGGAGTCAGCAATCGCTCCAGACGGTATTTTCTTACTACATCTGTTTAGACTCCTTACAAGATATTTATGTACAACACTACCCCAATCATAATGAGACAACCTATCTAAATCATCTAATACTAAACAAGGCATGTTATAAACAAGCCTTGACTTCCTAGGAAAATAAAATACCACAAAACAAACTAATATATACAAACGACAAATCACATCTACCTCAATAGCATCATTAAGTACAAGCCCATCAAACATATTCATCAGGTCTTTCAAAGGCGTTCTTTTAGGATTGAACATCTCACCTACTTTACCAACTACGAATTCATCGTACGGCACCTCCAACCCGCCTACTTCTAAACCTAAAGTCATCAAAACATCAACTGCATTGAATGGCAGTAGATGTTGGCTAACTCTAAATGATTCATGGTGCCCAACCCATCTACAAACCATCTTCTTCACCAATTTTAAACTCACCACTAGAGGTTTAACAATTTATAAACACCACCTAAATGGAGTTCGTCCAATGTGCGTTTGATGTCTGGTTCATAGTAAAGAATTCATATGGACTATGTACGATGTATCCATCCATGCTCGCATGCGCCACTACAATACAGTTCAAATTT